AAAGAAAGCTTTCATGGAATATTCTGGTTAGCCGCACAGACAGTTGCGTACGGTACCCTCGGGACCCATAAAACTAGTAATTCACAGACAATATCTCACCCACGCTCTCTTTGCCACGGTCCAGCCACATAAATCCAGCAGATTTTAAGGAGGAGACGACGTCCAAAGGGTTTGGACTAGAGCACGTGTTGATCAAATCTGGGCATGTCGGCCTGCAGGGCCAGATATTAAAACGGGTGAAAGAAAAAGTGATACAAGACACATTGAAGTGAAATGGCAGAAAGAAAGATGAAAGTTAATTCTAGCTAGTTGGGGGAACATGAACCCATTCATCACCTTGCGAAGGTTCCAGAGTTTTTCTTCATCACGCTGCTCCACCGTCCCCAGCAAGGCGATCACCCAGGACTCAAACCCCTCACTCCTTGATAACCAAATCAAGTGGATTAAAAACGATTTAATGTGTTGTGCAGTGGGTGTCTCAGGGTAGGAGGGTAATAAACAGCTCAAAAATGCTATAAAACATATCACAGGGACCCCCAAACCGTTTAACAAAGATGACACGGCCAGTCATCCAATGGAGAAGACAACACACACAAGCAGCCTTCACATCGTCATTTGAGCATGAACATACAAAGCAAACAAAACAAAAAAAGCGAGTGACTCACTGAAAACCAACTGGGACACACAGTGTCATATCCTGAGAGAGAGATCCTCCTCTCACTGAAGACAGATGGATGCTCCAATCTGCCGCGTGTCACTGTGCCAGAGGACAACTAGTCACCGAAAAACCTGCAGCAGAGACCGGAGACCTTCATCATCATAATTCATGAAATATCACGATACTGTCGAGGAGGAAACCTGTTTGTTTGTGCTCACCGCCGATGTTACCATAATACTGTCATGGTTCTCGAGCGCACCCTAGCGGCTGTATTGCGGGACTGCATGTGGATATGACGTCACTGCGGAATGTTCCACGTCATTAAAAACAGGGGTGAATGGGGTGAAATACAATAATATAACGTTGTGTTTCTAGTCTCCCTCTAAGCTAATTTTATTGAGGAAGTGTGAATTTGGTTTTGAAAGCGTGTTAAAAGAAGATTGTTGTAAAAAACTATTTAAAAAACGATCTGTAGGCGTAATAGTGAAAGTGTGGTTTTCTCCCGTGAGACGGGCGCTGATCGTCCGCCGCGAGGCGCCTTTTCTGAGCTCATGTTGTCAGGCAGAAACTAGCCTCCGCTAAACATTCAACATTCACCAAGTTAAACTGAATCCTAAAACATGGCAACCAAAAAGAAGCGAACTCCAAATGCGCACACTAGCAGTCGAGTTGTCATTGCTGCAGGTAGGTGAGCTAGCGGCAACCAAGCTAGCGTTAGCTCGCTATTTAACGCTAACTACGCAACTTAACGTTAGCAAAGTTATAAACATTAGTCCTTGGTAACTGTCATCCCTTAAATGAGGTAATTTACCCTAAAGGTAACCTTAGACGTGTTTGCCATTTGGCCACCACGCGTCCAGCTTCAGGAAATAAAGTGTTACTTACGAGTCAAATGTCATCATTAGTTATTTAGCGTTTCTTTGTTGCACGCTCACTCATGACGTCACTTTAGCTCTCAGACTGATGTGACGGTGACGCTCCGCGGCGCATCTTACCTCACATCTGCTCTGGTGTCCGCAGACTCTGCCATCGACACCCAGAAACACGACAGTGACCCGGCTTTCGTGAGACTAAGGAATCCTGCCACAGGTCAATCTTTATTTATATATTATTTTATTATCAGAAGATTAGGAAAAATTCCAATGGACTGAGATCCAGAATGTTCTCTTCAACTACTGCATTAAAATGTCATATCTAAAGTTGTCTCCAATAACAGAAGGTTAAATATTTAGCATTTGTTAGACCTCAAGGGTACCCGCAATACGTTTTGGAGAGTGTCACATAAATGTAAATGTAAACATAGTAAATGTAAACATAACTATTGTTTTTTAGTTGTATTCCTAACAGGACTCTATTAACACGTCAGAATGTGATAGAAGGCCAACATGAGGTTGTGAACAGAATGAAAAAAGTTTTTCCAGCAGTTCATTTCTGTATCTTGTCGAAGACATTTGAAGATAACGCAGTTCCCTCTTTTTTTTCCATCCTGCAGATGCAACATCTCTGTACATGCTGAGTGGTGGTGATTTACAGCTGTTTGAGGTCAAAGCGTTTGAAGAAGATTTCCACTCCTGGTTTATTGGCCAGACTGTACAGAGAGGTCGGTCTCTTTCCTCTTCACATTGCTCTCTTTCAAGCCACCTAGACATGATCACAAACACACAAATCACATTAAATGTTTCCAAACAGATGGGCGACTTCTCTTTGTCACGCCGATGGATCCTCTCTATCTAATCCTGCCCTATTTGATCAAATCTGGCAAAGAGGTAAGATACTGAAATCTGCATTTATCTGACAGCTGTGGTCTCCGTTGTGTTTTTGGGCTGATCGCTGTGGTCTAACTTCTCTGCAGAGGGTGGTAAGACTCCATAATCTAAATTACTCCATAATCTAATATACATAAACACATAGCAAACTAAGTAAATGTTGGGCCTTTAACATGATAATGAATTCACTGCTTTATCAGAATATTTGACCTCATCACAAATTAAAATAAACCAAATATCTGGTTTATCTGTTAATTATTTTTGATGTCCTTTGCGGCTCAGGGGAAGTTCCAGCCTGTGGATCAAGTCGTTATGGATGATGAATTCCCAGCTTGCTCCAGGCTGCTGAGCTGCACGCGTTCTCTGGCCTCTCTACACCACATTACAGAGGAAAAAGGTGACGTTTAATTTTTCTAAGCCAATAACCGCTCCGGTATTATGCTGATTGCATTGTTTGAATGCTGCGTTCCATTCATCCAGAAGTGGGAACACAGAGGTTCCACCGATACAGTCAGGAGAGGACGATGAACTGGCTGAAGAAAAAGGTATTCTGAAGACTTCAATGCCACTGCTTTTTATATGGAATTCAACAGTTGGAATTGCATAATTTAGTTGAACGTGTTTGTGAAGGTGGAGAGGACAGTCAGCGTGCTCAAGGCGAGAAACATCTCTGTGGGAGAACGAGTCAAATCCACAACATACATCACAATGAAGTCCGAGTCGGACTACCGTGACGGTACGCCGTTTAAGACCAATAGATGGCAGTAACACTGCACCGTTTGCATCTAATAGGAGTTGTAATCTTAAAATATCATTTTCTAAATCTAAAACCTTTACCAAAGTTAAAGTATGATTATGTTATGTTATGCTAATTACCGGCCCTTCTTGGTGCTGCAGAGGACTACCTACGCTATGCTCATGGCCTGGTATCCGAGTACCTCAGCCAACACCTCAGCAAAGACCTCCTCACGCACCTGCAGTAGGTCCAGACTTTAAAACACGCGTGCGACATGGTGGTTAACACTGCGGTAAAGCAGTGATCAAGCATTCCTCCTCTCGTTTCACCCCCACAGGTTACCTGAGCTCAAAAGCCCAAAGGAGACAGAACCTCCTTCCAAGGTAAGATCCCGTCTCCCCCCCTTCCTCCCCTATACGTGATGTCAGCCGAGATCGTAGCCGTGTGTGTTTCTGTGGTTAAAAAAAAAAAACACGTTGGTGCTCTTTGTCCATGAAAAGCTTGTCTCACTTCCTTGTTTTGTCAGAAACGGAAACTTACGGACAAACCGGTGGAGGCCGAGGAGGACTACACCAAATTCAACAGTGCAGAGTTTGCGCGGAAAGTGAGTGAACACGAAGCAGTCGGCCTGAAAGGACCCAAACATTGATTCGCTCCGAGCGCCGTTGCTTTGTGGATATTGTAATTACTAATAGTCGTCTCTTTGCTTTCATCGGGGACCTTGAGTGATTGTCAGTGTAGCTCTTGTTTGTTGAACGTTTTCTTTTGCATTCACGTATGTTATTTTCTCAAATAGAAACGATGTTCACGATGTATAATGAAAGTTATAGAATTGTATTGATTTTAATCTTTCTCCCTTATTCCAGCCGCCCAAGAAGATGACTGCGGCTCAGAAATCCCTGGCTAAGGGGGACAAGACCGGCATGAAGACGATGTCCTCCTTCTTCAGTCCCAAGGTCAAAGCAGAGAAGAAATAAGCTTTGTGTACTTTCTGGTTCTGGACATGAAACATTTGTAATAAAGAAAGGAAAAATCTATTTGACATATGATGTTCATTGTACATTATGGTTTGAGTGGGATTAGAATAAGAACGGAAAGATAAAATGGCAAGTTAATTGGTGTTATTATTTTAACAGAATATATATTTGCATGTCGCAAAGTAGTACTCAAAAATATGGCTTTAAAGGACATTTTACCAGTGCTGGAATATAAATTAATTTTAGTACTTTTTAATGGGGAGTATATTCAACTCCTAGCTACATTTTACATACACATTTATTTATAATATTATAATATTTGCTTAGACTACAGTATTTCTACTCTGAATACTTCTATCACTGCAGATAACCCAAACTTAACTTGAGGGAACTCACCTTGCGAAGCTGAATCACAGAGTTTCACCTTGTGGCCAGTCTTATCGCCGCGAAGGACGTTGTAGCAATTAACCGCTTGCTTCAATAATGCATGAAAGACTGCAGTCAGGTCTGATCCATAAACCGCTAAACCCAAATTCCATCCCGCTATTTAATGTTATTAAATTTATAACGGTTCTGGTGATCTTGAGACGTTAAAAGGATTTTTTATGAAACCATGCTGTAAAAATCATCCATTTAATGTTCTTTTATTTAAAGTGAATTCATTTATAATAACTAGATATTGAAGGTTATATTTATCGAGGTTTGATCTGAAACAAATTAAAGCAGAAAGGCCTGTTTGGAGGCATTTTGTCAAAGCAGAAATATTTTGCCTTGTCTTACTGGGACTTGAGGGTAGGTTATTCTTCTATGAGAAGTCAACATGTTCACTCTGAAACACCAGGAATTAACTTTATCACCTGGACGGATTTTCTTATGTTTCTTTTGCAATTTCTTTATTAAAATTCCTCTTGAATATTTCATAGTGCCGATTGTCTGGACGCAGCTTTAGCAGATCATACAAACTGGGTGGGACTCAACAGAGCTGGTGGTTCCAAATGTCCTATCGAGCTTCACGGCTTTTTTAATTTGGGCTTGAAGCGCAGCGTCTGGAAGGCGCTCTCCACCACTTTGGGCAGATGGATCGGGTTCCTCTGCAGACGCAGGCGGCTGCTCGTGGATCCGCTCTGGCTTTTCTTCTTCGGGGCGCGTTCATTGGGGCGGTCGCGAACCGCTTTCTGCCCGGAGTCGTCTGCGACCCGAGGGACCCGCAGCACCCAGTTGGAGTGGAGGTCGTGCTCGGCCGAGCTGGAGGCCACTGTTGAGGAGGGAAGAGCACGGAGGGGCAGAACCCGAGCCGAGGCCGTTACTGTGAGACTACTACTCAGCGACCACCTGGGGTTCATGAATAAACAAGTACCTTACGAATGTCTTGGTTATAACCACACTTTGACCTTTACCGGTCGAAACACGCGGTGGAAGGAGAATAACGAGACACATTGTGATGTTTATCGGGGTTAACTTTGGTGTAATCAATAGCACTAATAAAGGCTTCACAGAGATAATCGTTTTAACCCGGGCTGCCTACTTTTGAAAAATATAAGTAAAAGTATAACCAAGTAGGAATATTTCATCACACAGTTTGGATGTAATTGCACTTATTCAGTATCACCAGTATGACTAGCTGTAAGGGGGGTGGAGGATCCACTGCAGGATGCACGGGTGTATCTGGGCCATTAGCTCAGCACCTGAGTGAACGAGCCCTCTCGATGTACTTAAAGGGACAGTTCACACCAAAATAAAAAAAACATGTTTTATCTTACCAGCAGAACTTTTTATCGACATAGATAAGTTCCCTCTTTGGAGACGTCTGCCTTTGCTTCTGTCTATTAGCACTTTACTATCGTGGTGCTCAGCAATGTGTCTTTCCTGGTTTCCACCCAACACCCTAAAACCAGCTGACATCACAGCTTAGACGCAGTTATTGACAGAGACTGTTGTTGCTGTTGAATGTAATTTGTTGGGGTTTTGAGTCAAGTGCCATTGTACTGGAGAGGAGGGAACATCTCAGGGACCGATATCCTCAAAACTAAGTTTAAACCTAAACGTAGAGGCCTAGAGGTCGTAGACAATAGAAATACCCAGGTTAAGTGCAATACTGTTCTTAAGTAAATAATTACAGGTAGTAAATTCTACCCGGAAACCAATGCCAAAAATATCTAATCCAAAGCCCCACAATTATGCAATACTAACAGATGCTATGGATTTATTGGTCATTATTATTAATGTACATACTAACGCACATGGGACCATACAAACGATTGAACCCCTTTACCGTCGAGGCTCGAAGGTCCTCAACGGCAGCATCATTTCATCCAAAGAGAGGCCTTTTACACCCACCTATGAAGTCCACATCTGCGTGTCCATCATCCACATACGGCTTGCGCAGAGGTTCGCCGTCGCAGCCCGCGATCACCGCATCGAAGAACCGCAACGTGGCCTCCTCGCTGGGCACCGGCGGCGCGGAGGGTTTGGCTCTCGGTGTCTGCGGTGGGAGTAAAACGTTCAGAATGTCGGTGCGTGACGTGGCCCCATGCACCGCCACGTGCCCGAGGGTAGTCGAGTCAAGCTTACCGGTCGCTCCTCCGCAGGCGGCGGGGGCGCGGCCCCCTTCGCCGGGGACACCGCGGCCTCGGACCGGTTACTTTTCAAGTCGCTCACGCTCTTCGTGTATTGCCGCCTCAGGGTCACGAGTGCTTCCAGGTACTCCAGGCAGTTCTGATTCTGAGAGTGGAGCCATATCCGGTCCTCTTGTCTGTGATAATAGTACAAGGTCGACTCAATGCTCACGGTGCTCTTGCTCCGTTTTAAGGTGGAGCCGAGAGTTTTCTCTCCCACCACGAGCATGGAGGTGCTGCGGACCAGCCTGACGGTGCAGGCGCTGTGGTAGTCCTGCTCCGACCGGACCCCACCCGCGCCGCGCTGCCCTCTGGGCCCGTGATGGTTGGGACGGAACGCGTTATTGATCTTCTTGAACATCCCCCACCCCCCCCCCCCCCCCTGGTTCCCCCTAAATGGAGGCTTTCGGGGGTAAGGGCTCAACTTCTTTGCATCTATTCATTTCCGTCCCGTGGAGCAGACCGATGGGTCATAAAAAACAACGGCACAGGGGCCCGTCCCCCGGGACCGGGTCGCTGTCCAGGGTGCTGAAAAGTGCAAAGCGGCTGCTCCCCAAAACCAGGCCCGAGTCTCTGTCGTCGGTCCTGATCTCCCCACGTCGCCGCTGTTATCGGGTGTTGCTCAGCAACGTCGGGTCGGTAACTCGACACGTTGTGCTGCTATTACGGCGTGTGTCAGATACCCGGACTCACACAAGATATCAACACGCAACAAATCGACAAATATGGATCTAGTTTCTCTGCTTGTGCTGATTAATCCACCTATTAATAAACCACGTGTTCTTAAAAAAAAGAGATATTAGAAAAGAATATTTATGATAGTTTGAATTGCAGGTGAGTTAAGGTGTTCACATTTCCACGGTTTAAATGAAAAGGCTGTAAAGACCAAAATAAATAATTATGTTGTATGAATGAGCAGGATATTGTAATAAACTCTTTGCAGTTATATGATGGGGACTTATTACTTTCCGCTCCTGATTAATAATGAAACATGTTCTCTCGTGTTTCGTTCCTGTCTGTGGCTGAGGTGCTGCAAACAAAGGAAGTCTGAATACAAGTCTCAACGAAAGAGAGTCATACATGCAAACAAAGTACTTTCATGTTGGGAAAATCGGTGGCTGTGAATGCAGCCTGAAAGGCTTCCACCACTTTCACCAGATATAAGATTTAATCAAAAAGTTGCAAAACTAAAAACAACGACTAATTTACAGAGGGATCAGATGAACGCAAAAAAAGATGAAATGCTGCAGAAGAGCAGGCCCGGTTTCAAGGAGGAACTGATGCATTGTGGGTACATGAACGAGCCGCAGGTCACACTTCTGCTTTTGGTGGCGGACGAGTAAAGCTACGAGCTACAAGAAGCAGCTGTTTGACCACAAAGATGCAAGCCTTGTGTGACTCGAAGGAAAGCGAAAACAGGAATCAGTTGATTGTGATCATATTAACGACAACTTTCTTCTTCGGCTTTTCCCTTTGCACACCTGCTTCTCTTAAAAATAATCACAACCTCTCTGCTGGCTTTTTACAGCGTATGTTGCCTTGTTGGTGGTACTAATGCAGACGTAGATGCATCCTTTTGTGAGGATGTAAATAGAATTTACAACCAACTAACCAGGGACAGCTGGCCATGTCTGTTACAATTGTATGAGAATAAAACATATAGTGGCAAAATGGTGAATTGTAAAATACTCTGATTAATCCAGGTGCAACATTAAGTTTGCAGAAATGAGAAGACAGAGATGATCTCTCTATTTCCACTTCCTCTTCAGGTGGTATAAAGACAACCCTCATGCAAAAAAAGGTCTGCACATCGAGGGTGCCTCGATCGAGAATGCAATGTTCGCAAGAAGTGCGTTTCTCTAATGTGCCGAAGGCTGTGATTCTGGCCCGAAGGAGGTAAGATGTTTGTTTCAGAGGAATGTGACATCTTTTGAGAGTTAAATAAGAAAAAGTGCCTTTTGGGAAATATTCTTTTGGAAAGATGTCTTCGGGAAGTTTATTAAAAAGATGTCATTCACATAAATGATATCTCAAGTTTTGTTGTGATTTCATCGTGTTGTTGGTTTTGTGCTGTTTAATGTGAATGGTTTTTATATCCGTTTTACAAACAAGCTGTCTAGAGTCCGTAAATACTTTGTGGGGCAATGAACGTCAATAAAAGAATAAACGTTAAATGAAGAGATAGTTCTACGAGTTGAATACTGGCTGCCATGTGGTGTTCCTTTAATCACTTCCTAACAGCCTCTGCCAATGTGCTCTTTGTTGCAGCCATGCTTTGTGAAGCCAGACTGTTCAGCATGACGTGTGGTGAATTGGAGGAGCTGGATTCCCCCCTTCCTCAGAAAGCTCCCCGGGGTACTTTCGGGCTGCCGAGAGCAGCTGCCACCCTGGTGCCAGCCTCCGTCAGACACGCGCCACTCGTTCATCACAACTCCCCCGAGCTGACAGGTTGTTTGCTCAACAGGAGCGATTCAGCCGAGTTGTACATTTCCCCGCTGCAGTCCTTGGATGGCAGACAGATCTCCCCGCAGATAGAGATCCCGGCTCAGGCTCGCTCAGTTGGCGACGCCCCTTTCCTGGTTCCCTCCTCCTGTCAGAGCATCTGCCAAAATTACAGCGACCTCCACATCGGCGGCGACCAGGTGCTGCCGCTCTCGACTAACGATGGAGAGCTCCGGCTCTGCGCCGCCCCCCAGGCCGTGGGCCCTTTCCTCCAGTCCTGCGATGTCCCCCCGGCTGTGGAGGATTCTCCCCCACGAAAGACATCTAATGGAGGGCTTCTGCTCCCACCAAGGGGAGGATCACACCGCTGGAGACTGGGGAGCGCTCGTGATCGGAGCTTTTTGTTCCAGGGCGGCGAGGGTCCCTTCTCCAACTCTCTGCTTAATCACTACCTGGAGCAGAAACTGTTGGATTTGTACCAGCAATACATGATGGAGAACATGGCCAGGGAAGGGGCCCCAGGCGTGGGTTCTGACCATGGCGCCATTTGCCCTCTGCTGGGCTCAGAGCTGGTGCTGACCAGCCTGGACCAGATAACTTTGCAGCTGAGTCGGGAAGGGAACCTGGAGGCCGGCCTGGCCAAGGACATGGTCCTCAGCTGCCTTCTGCGGGTGGCGGGTGACATGCAGTCAAGTGAGATCAGCACTCCCTTTCTGCAAATATCCAACGAGGCATCCAGGGAGCATCCCACAGGGAACAAAGGGGAGTAACCCCAGTGTCAAAAAAATACCCCAAAATACCCCAATACCCCATTTCTATTTGTATCATCCTCAAAATAAAATGAAACTGTATCATTTGTTTTATTTTCATGATATGATTACGTTATATCAAATGGTGACCAATTGTGTGTGTCCCCTTTCTAAAAGCACAATAAAAACAGGATCTGAATATTGAAACCAACCTTTCACTTTCCTGCGCATCGCGACAACATAACTTTCCTACTTTTTGTACTGCTTGGCACTTCTCTGAGCAACGTCTGCTCATTGTGTCTTCATTTGAAATGAAGGTCTCTCTCTGGTGAATTGCAGACGAACATCTTGTTCAGGCATATAAGACATAAATAATAGTTTAAAATGTGTGTCCATTATTGTTTTATTTCAGTGGAATAGAAGTCATGCTTTCTTCATCTGTTCTCCAATTCATCCCCAACGACGGAGAGCGAGCGGAACCCGCTGTTAATAGTGTGGAAAAAGTATTGACAAGGCTGTTGAAGTGAAATTCTGAAGCTGTCTTCTACTGGTGACGCAAAGTCTGCAGTTTAATAAACGGTCACAAGGGGGAAGCATTATCACCAAATAACTTGCCCCCCCCCCCCGCCCCATACACTCTAATTTCTTATATTTGTCCCCCTTTGCTGTCAATCCGGCTCCCTTACACATCCATCCATCTAGCTAATGTTTCACCTGCTCCCTGCTAAACTATGATGTCACCCAGACTGGGTTACAAATCTGTGTCAAGCCGGCAGTCGGGCGCTAACACCAAATTTAACACAGTGTTTTATATACCGGCTTCCTCCACCGTGTTAACAAAATACAAGCCTGAGATACGGTTATCTACACTGCATCATTTATTTGAGGAAAATATTGCACAATCACAAATGAGAAACTCAGCATGGCTGAGAACCAATGGATTTGTGCACCATAAGTGACATATTCTTTTTTTGACGTTTCCCCCTATTCAAAGTGCTTTGAAAGACCTGCGTCTCCATTCCAGCTCAGTGCAGCTGTGGCCTTCTGAGTCAGTGTTTGATCAGCTTCCTGGTTTCCTGTCCAAACAGAGAGCCACAGGAGGAAGCTGTGTTTACCGAGCGGAGCGCCGCAGTCTCAAGGCCGCAGAGACACATGTTTCGGTGTTTCTGCTTCCATCCGCGTTGCACTGTACAGGTACACGTTAAAGCAACCCAATCCTTACAGACCTGAACAAACACACTCTAACATGCAATCAACCCAGCAGGGTGAGCCGGACTGATTTCCACACGCCCGGGAAAAATGTTGCAGAAGAGGTTTATTAAGAATTGTTTCATAAGCTGCGCACTGCAGTCTCTAAAACACACACACAACATTTACTCACAAACCCTTGATTTAATCAATTTGCACAAATTATTAACATCTCCCCGTCAAAAGCTTAACAACCAGCTCACTAGGTTTTACTTCTTTGATTTCAGTCATTTACTGCAATTAGTAGTAGTTTTTCTCTTTTAGAAAAAGTAAGCAAAGGTCAAATAATGAAAGAGAAGCCAGGAAATTAATGCAGGGTCATAAAACAAACAATGAGCTACAGCGTTTGAAAAAGAACCCACACTTCTTTCACGGTCGAGCAATGAAATCAACCGGGAGGTTGGAGCGTCTTTCAGAGGTTCATAAAGTAATTTCTTTGTCACAAAGAGCTTTTAACATGGAGGGCGGTTAAGGCAAGGCCACAAGATTTCATATCAAAGCCAAGGTCCTCGATACACTCTCACCATTGTGGCTTTAATGCTGTGCAGCACACTGTGGGCTGCCTTCGTTTTAAAAGCCTTTAGTACGTAGCCTTGTTAATTGGAACAGTCATATACTCTTTGCTTATTTTTTTTTCTCCCGCTTTGTGACTTGTAGGATTTAAGAACTTCTATCACAACCGTTTCAAGGCCTATTGATGGCCAAGATCCTTTGAGCGCTTTACAGCAACATGTACACACACACACACACACACACACACACACACACACACACACACACACACACACACACTCACACACATTCCCATTTGTTTTGCTTAGATTGAAACACAGGAATTAGTTGGCAGATAATATTTTTATGTATTGCTGTGGTAAATAATCACTAACAGGTGTAAGACTGCGGTTGGTGTGTGAAGCCACTTAATTCAATTAAGGCCAGAAGCTCTTTTTTCTTTCTTGGATGGCCTTGGGCAAACATGTTTGTTTTTTTTGTACAAAGTTACATCTACCGGAGTGACCCTATGTCCAAGTGTAAAGCGCGACGACAGCTCCTGCTCTGTATGTGGCAGCTTGGCACTGGGACACGTAGGTGGTGGAAGGGGAGAACACACATTTCCCGCTCAGTTAGCCGCTGAAGGCTGCAGGAGCTGTGGCAGCACGGCTGACCTTGGCTAAGCGGGAGCACACAGAGAGACCTTGGGGGACGGAGGGGCAGCAGGATCTGGCTGGGGGACATGATGCGGTGATGCATGGCGGCCTATCACAGCACACAGCGCTCGTGTGACTCTAGACGGAAACAGTAGGGAGAATTGATGAATAATCTTTTTAGACGTTTAGTCAAATATACGGCCTAATGTTGAATTGTGCACCTCGTTGGCCATGTATGCTTCTGCAAGGAGAGTAATGAGAGTATTTATTTATTGCCGTGGTCTTTGTCAGGGATTTAAGTAGAAGTGCGCACCTAGTGGTAGAAATGATAATACATGTAGTAATGTTTAGTGTTAGAATTGTAGTTTGTGTGTTATTAGATATTAGTTATTACATTGGCATGTAATGCAATATAAATCAATCACCATTTATTTAACATTCTGTCACAATGTAATGTTAAAACCTGGGGATGGATGATAATTGCCGTCCTCTATGGATTTCTGCCAATTTTCTCCCCATAAGCAACTGAATGCAAGACAGCCGAGTGAGGCAAAAGTCCTGAGTCTTGACCACATAAACTGTGTTAAACTTTATGATGTAGTGTGATGAACTGTGATCATTCATGATGTGTTGTAATTAAAGTGTACTGGTTATAAGATGAAGACAAACGCATGCTATGTTACATTCACTAATAGAGGCAGTTAGTACAGTACCAATTTAAATGTGCGAGCCAGGAATCAAATGGGCAATATTGTCATTGTGGTAAGTGAAATTAGCGGTAACCCACAAATTTGTTTGTGAGATTTGTTTAATCCGATTAAAGTAAATGCGAACCATCCTCTTTTCAAGGCACTCGATATCCTCCCTTCAGGTCAGACATCCAGTCGGCACAACAGGTCAAATCAATAACTGATCTCTCTATAAATGTGTGTTATTGCAGTTTGTATTTGCTTTTATCACACAAACCTTTAATTATAATCTGTATTGTGTATAAACTACCAGTGCTTTAAATGGATTCTATTGTCTTGTACTAGCTGCAGAAACAATTATAGAAAACAAATCTGAAGATGGTGATTAACATCATCTTAGAGTGTTTAAACTGCAAGTGAACAAACTATGCACGGAAATAAATACATCTCAGTAGTTCACTTCATAGTTCAGTTCATAAAAAAGATGTGAAAAAGGAACATATATATACTGTATATATAAACCTCCTCAAAAGCTCAAATTGACTGTATTTACATGTTGTATACAGCAGTAAACCAGTATTAGCTCTGTGAAGATAGTGGAGTAGTGTCTACCTGAATGGATAAATCACGCTCAGTCTGTTGTTATCGGAGCTTGTTTGCATAACTGAGCCAGCCGGGTGTGTTTTTAGTACATGTTAGTGCATGTGAGCGTGGCCCAGTGGCCTCAACTGTTTTGTTTGCACCAACAAAACATTAGTCACCATCTATTCAGTTTATGTTGCTCTTCATTATCCAACATTATATCACAAATATTTTTCAAACAATGACTTGAGTCCTTTCTGTTACAGTCAAACTTGACTGATACAAGTAAAATGAAGTGCCAAAATGCAGATATCCAGAATGTAGCTCAGAAACAGCCCGTCCAACACAAATAGGAAGTTCAACAAGCTCAACGGGCCCTTTGTGGAGGCCTTGGCCTTGGAACAATCCAACATGTATAGAAAGACACAATGAAACGAAATTATACAGGCACATCACTTGTGAAGAGGAGGCAGAATGATTTGCCAAAGCATGTATCTAGTTAAGCAAGGCCAGTGGAGGAACTTGAATGGGTAAAGAGGAGGAAGCTTAATTGGAAAAAACTAGAGTTGAGAGGATTAGATTCATGCGGGTGAAATGTCACATGTTTCAAAACCTACATTCGTTGTCATAGGTGAACCCTTTGCTCGACCAACACAAACAACACTGGTCATGAGGCTTCAACACGCGCTGATACAAGCCTCTTACTCACCATAACCCATATCTGACTAGTCGCTGTGGCCCAGGGCGCCCTTTGTGCGTGTCACCATTCAACAGTAGATAGAGAGCCCGACCGGTCCTGAAAGTTACCTGCTACTGCAGCTAGATTCTCGCAACATCACCAGATAATAATAATAATTGAGACATCACGTGCTAACCGGAATATACATCTTCGTGAGGCGCAACACGCGTGTGTCCGGACGGATCAGCGTCCCGTGAGGAGCCCCTTCCGGGGGCCCAGCTGTGTGTGTGTGTGCCAAACAACGTTAGCAAAAGTACTGCAACAGCCTCAGCTGAATAGATGGTAATAGATGGCGCATCCTTATTACTGTCATCATATAAAATAAGCAGAGCACAGAGACAGAGAAAAGAAGGAGACAGGGTCAGGTGAAGGGATTAGATAGCCTTCAGACATGCAGTGCAGCAGAAGTATGTAAAAATAATAATTGTCTGGAAGTGAAGTTTTCAGAGGATGATTCATTTCACAGCTTAAACTTCAGAGGGAAAAAAATCTATACGTTCAGGTTGACATATTAAAAGAGAGAAAACATTGCGTTTTCAAGGCCTTACGGATCTTTAATCAAAAGTATTGCAGAAGCAAAGTCAGACAGCGTGACTCGCCGCCGATGAGTCACTTAGTCTGAAAAGGGGTTTGTTGTTGCTCAAAGTCTCAAAGGAAGGACAACTCACTGACAAATTTAATGAGAATTCTTCTCGTCACTCAAAGAAAAAAAGACCCGTCAAACGTCTTCACTTTCGTCTGATTTCAAATGTTTTGTTCACCCTCCAGTGTTTCCCCCTCACCTTGGGCCTCCGTGTACGT